CTTTCTTTCTCTTCACTGCATCACCACCACAACCTCTCCTGCCTCCCTGCTTGAGGGCTGAAGCACTCACCTTCTGCCAGCCATGCCTCCTGCAGCTGACGGAGGTCCTGGAAAAGCTCTGAGGGCACAAAAAGCAGAAAAGACCAAACAAAGTGTCAGAAACAACCGAGTTCATTGTGACTGGCTGCAGCTCAGAGTGTGCAGCTAATAACGAGTCAATTTGTGAGTCTGACCGCTGACAGAGGCTTGTGAGGATCATCACAGGCCGCTGTGCTGTAATTGAGATTCTGTAGTTAGCGGCGGCGCAGGTGGCCGCGAGCCAATTGAATTTTGCTAAATGTTTAGAAGCCGTGAAATTAACTTCTCCCTCCGTCCTGCACCCACCTTCGGTGTCCAGAGCCAGGTCGGACTTAATGAATTTTCTTTTTCTGTCGTCTGCTGGACTCTCATGGCAAGATGTCTTCTTCTGCAGCGTCTGGTGGAAAAAAGAGATTTTTATTTATTTATTTTCTGAGTAAAAGCAGCTGAACTGGTCATTCACTCACTGCTGCTCAACAGGGAGAAATATTTTGATTTCTGATTTAAAACACTTGTATTACTGGAAATTCTCAACTCTCAAGTAATTTTCTGGACAACTTTTCCACCTAAAATTGTCTCAGCAATAATGTATTTGTTAAACATGGCTTATGTACAAAATGTGTCTGAAATTTAAATGTAAATTCAACAAATAGCATCACATCAAGCAGACTGAAACAAAGCTGCAGCGACCAACACAGTCTCTCTGTCGCAAAAGCTTCTAGTTTGTTTTGAAAAACACTAATTTGTTAGAGAATACCCAAATATTTGTAAATATATTCAACAAAATTCCAGGTTTAGATGAACAGATTACAGAAGTCGAACAAGGAAAGTGGCAAACAATAATGTGAAATAATAGTTTTTTTTTTATACAGCTGAAATTAAAACAAAAATACACATTTGATTACTTGCACAACCGCAGTTAGATGCATAATTTGTAATTTCTCAAGAGTGAAAAGTTTGAAAAGAAACAAAAATCATAAATCTAATTTGAAAGCTGCTGAAATCGAGATAAAACTGGATTTACTAACGTAGCAGTTTGGGCCAGCTGGAGAGAAGAACTAGTTTTAAATGAACTTTTTCAGTTCTGGTTACTTACTGCAGAGTTACAGTAAGGCACTTGCTGGTCGTGATTTCCATCCATTCTCCACGATCTCCAGTCTGCAAAGTGTCGCTTGAAATAAAAGAGACAGAAAGACAGAAAGAAGTTAATTGCATTCCTGCTTCAGCCTCTTTCTAAAACGCAGCTTCTCTAAAGAATAATCGAATATTCGGTGTTAATAGAAAGTAAAGTTAACAATCAGACAGCAGGAAAAGGGAGCGCACGGAGCTAGAGGGCGCACCAAAAAGCAGGAGGAGACGGAGGGGAGATCTGCTCACCTTTCCCCTTCGCGTCGTGTTCATCCGCGCACAGAAAGCCACGCAGCGGCCGGCAGGATCGGCTCCAGCCCCGGCTACTGTCTGCGCCTCTCCCCGCGCACTGGGCTTCTTCCTGGCGGCTTGGCATCGCCTCCCGGGGCCTCCCATGGAAACGAGCCGCGCTCCTCCGCCTCCTATTGGCTGTCAAAGCCTTTCAGTGGATCAGATCGCTGCTGGCAGGCAAACGGCGCGTACGCGGCTCCGGTATCAGCAGTAAGTAAGTTTGGCCTTTTTTCAGATTATCTGGGACAACTTCGCTCCAGAGTTGGATAATATTTCAAAACCAGACATCCTGCACCTCTCCTCTCGTCTCACTCACAGTTTTCATCCCTCCTGGGCTCCATTCACATACAGTGCGTACACACAAACACGCCACTCACTGCTCTACCCGGTCCAGTTCGTGGCCATGGTAACGGTGTTTTGAAGAGCCTCCAGAGGGACTGGCCTTAGCGCCAGCGCTTCCCTCTCCTGTAAAGGGATACATTGTTGAGAGCGCCGCAGACTCAGGAGGCGCTGACCTGGAAGTGATGCACAGGTCACCGGCAAAAGCTGCTGCAGGAACTCCATTTTATTTCCATTTATTTATTCAGCAACGATGTTCTGCAGGAATAAAAGTACGGTTTTTAACATTTAATCTGCTTATTTAGTAAGTCTGATCCACCACGGCGTGGATTACAGGACCTCAGAAAGTCTGAAAATTTCTAAAAAACAAACATAAAATCCAAGTTCTAAATGTGAAAAGTCGAAAATTTCCAAGAAAAAAGGCCGAATTTGCTAATATGTCATTGCTGAATTTTACCCACATCTCTCCTGTTAAATTTCTGAGGAAATACTAACTTAGAAAGTCTGAGGTTAATGTCAGACATTAAAGTCAAATTTCTCACTTTGAAAAGTTAAAAATTTATGAGAAAAAGCTTTCAAGTTTTTTTTTTCTTGGAAATTATTATCGCTGAAATTGTCGTGTTAAACACATTTCTGAAAGAAAACCCGCCACTCCCCAGAAATTATGAGATTAATCGAAATACTAACTTAGAAAGTCTGAGGTTAATGTCAGACATTAAAGTCAAATTTCTCACTTTGAAAAGTTAAAAATTTATGAGAAAAAGCTTTCAAGTTTTTTTTTTCTTGGAAATTATTATCGCTGAAATTGTCGTGTTAAACACATTTCTGAAAGAAAACCCGCCACTCCCCAGAAATTATGAGATTAATCTGAGAATTTCTGAGTTTTTTCTAGGAAATTTCCTTCTTCTTTTTCTACAATGGCTCCAATACGTCGTTGTACTAATCTAATGGAAAACAAATGTTTGTGGTCGACTTTAATAGTTAGTGGTGATACTAAAAATGGCGCCCGGAGCCAAGTTTGCGTTTTGATCGTCGCCCTCGATGAGACAATGAAAATGCAAAAAATATCATTTAGCATATTCTGTGCAGCGGCTTTTCCATCTTCCTGTTGACGCTAGCTGTGCTGGATTTTTAACATATTGGTACATAAACATCAACACATTTTATGTTAATATATTTTATTTATATAAATTTTCCTGTAAAAATGCTAGTTAATTCAGTGTTTTGAAAACAAAAGGAAAAAATTACTGTATCTTTTCTATAAGGGCACGTTTTTTTCTGTTGGTAAATATATGTTTAATTTTTGTTATTTTTATGCTTATTTGAACTGACTTAAGAAATGTGTTGCTTGGTTTCCAGTATGAACTAAAATAAATGATTAATATTTAATATATTACTGCCTTACCTCCCAGCATTCAAAGTTCAGACGTTGAAAACAATCTAATAGAAACATTTTATTTCAGTTCATTTTGCCTGTAAACTTCCAGTTGAACTAACAGAATAGTTTGAGGTGAAATCCCTGAAAGTAAAGTTTACCATTGAGGGAAACTCTTGACTGAAAGACGGACGTGTCGGCAGCGGTCACGCCGCTGCCATCTTGGATCCATTACCAGGCAAATGAAGCTGATGTGAAGTGAAGCGCGGTGCCACTCCTGCTGAACTCCACCGACGACGGAGAAACGCAGGTCAAGTGCTGCTGCCCACCCGGCTGGTCAGAAGCGGCTCATATCTGTGAAAAAACGCTGGGTGGATGCAGATTAGAGCAAAATGACCAGAAACACAACAATAAAGTCCGTGACACCTGGGAATAACTGATGAGTTTTACAAACAAGGGAAATCCTGCAGCCCAGATAAAATCAGATACCAACTTTCAAAACTCAGCAGCTGTTAAATGTTTTTAGTCTTTAATGCAATTTTCATCACCAGTTTTCAGTATTTTAGATATTCTCCTCTTTAATTTAATGCCAACTAACCAGAAATAATAATAAAAAAATAAATACTACGCTGTGCTGCTGCTTTTCTATCTTCCTGTTGATGCTAGCTGTGCTGCATTTTGACATATTTGTACAGGAACACATTTTATTATATATTTTAGTTGTATATGGCCTCCTATAAAAGTTAAAGGTGCAGTTTGTAACTTTTATTTTAAAAATGACAGTAAAATATGAGATAATTTGAAAACATCCATCTCCTCTGCCTCTTTTCTGATCGATTATTGCTGTCAGAAGAAATACGCCACTCCCGACCAAAGACAACCAATCAGAGCCAGGAGGAGGGTCTTAGCGCTGTCAATCATCCTCATGTTCTTGCTGCTAAATGCACTAATGACAGAAAAACAACTTGTGGTTAAAGGAAAACTATTTATGACCTAATGCTAACTAGCCTGAACAATCATAACAGGCTGTGCTAGCTTCAGAGTAGCAGAGGGGGAAGCACCACACAGAGGGTGATTGACAGCGCCAAGACCCACCTCCTGGCTCTTATTGGTTGTTTCTTCTTCGCTCTGGGAGAAGGCAGATTTTTTTCATATTATCAGTCTCATACCATATTGTGATGACATAGTGGCAGTTTCAACAAATATGTAAATATATTTGTATCAAAGTCAAACACTGCAGCTTTAAGAACTTTTTTTTGTTTTTATGGCGTATGGACAGCCACCAAGGAGGAACATCTAAAATATGTAAGACTCCCTCTGAAAATGCTTATGACTGGCTAATCTAATAGTTCAAACACCAAATGCATCTTAATTTGCATTAAAATGTCCAGTGGAAACCATTTGGCACCATTAGTAGTACAGCCAATCAGTGCATTAAAATGAATGGTGCGCCTGGATTGGCTGCTGTGCAAACGCCAGTCAGTAGTGTGCCTGACTATCATTGCACTGACTAGGTATTCCTTCAGGATATTTTAGGTATTTGCTAAAATATTCCATAAAATGTGCAAAAATGCAACTTTTCTAAGAGTAATTTGGAATTTGTTAGATTCAATGAACTCTGAACAGGTTCCACTGCATTCCTTCTGAGTGTAACAATGTTTGTCTCAAGATCTCCAAAAGGTTTTACAAAATAAAAATTTTAACTATCAACAATCAAATTGCCATATTGTTTTGCAGAACATGAGTAGAAATTGTACTTTTACTGTAAAATACAAGACAAACAGAAGACTGTATCAAACAGCTAAAGCCTTTAATTGTTTCTATCGCTTTTCTCGGTCAGTGCTAGCAGACGTAAGTTGTTTGTGGGCAACAACAACAGAGCGAGAGCCAGAGTGAAGCAGGAAGCGGAAAAATAAATCATACTGTGTACAAAAATACAACCTCACTGTACAAATGCTGCACTTTACAAAGCACAAGAAAGTAGTGAGACTCGGATCTCGGTCTCCACATCACGGATGGCACTTTTAGAGGAACAGCCAGTTCAACGGTCATTCTCAGAAAAACATGCATTTTTAGAAAACACTGCTCTTACAGTAAATCAGCAAAACATCCAGAACAGTTTATTCTGTAGGTGCAAGTGAAGGCAATACGCAGAAATTAACAACTACCAGTGCCAACAAGAGTGCTTTTAAGGGTTAAATGGCTCAAACATGGCAAAAACACAAAACCATGCCAAGTATTTTTGGTTTAGTTTCCAGTGCAAATATTTTACTAAACTTAAAATAAGACGAAACTAACTGATAAGTAACTTTTCAGAAAGATATAGCAGCTTGATTAGAGTAAATTCAACATTGATGAAAAAGTTCTACTACCATTTACTTCATAATCGGGCATTGCACCGTTACCTAGCAACCCCAGCCAAGCCAGGCCCGTTACCTAGCAACCCCAGCCCGTTACCTAGCAACCCAGTTTTAGATACACTGGCAGATTATTTCACTTGTATGTCATATTGTAAGTGAAATAATCTGCCAGTGGAACTAGTACATTTATAAAAGAAATATTAAGGAATTACTGACTTAAAGAAGCTCATAATTCCAGCTGAAGAATTACTTATGAGTTAATTTGGTCTCATTTAAACTGTACTAAGTATTCGTATTAGAAACTAGAGCAATAATACTTGGTAGGGTTTTGTGTTTTTGGATGAAAGACAATAAAAAAGCCTCTGTAGGACTGTAAATGTTGGCTGTACGAACGTATCGCACTATAAACACAGTAAGTAATCTTATTTTGAGACCTTGGCGTTTGATTCATGCTTCCAAGAAAACCAAACATGTTGTGATTTTACATACTTGGCTTCTGTGTTTGCTCTAAAATTTATGGCACTTTTCTACCAAAATTCATCCATCTCAGTGATAAAACTAAAGATGAGTGCTTCAAAGCCTAGATTTAAAAATGTCCACTATATTTTCAACCCAGTAGCTTTTCTCATGCAACAGCAAATGTACACAGAATTGGAGAAACTTGTCAGAAATCTCCCAGCATAACAAAAAGGAGCATGCATGTTTTATGAATAACCAGTAAGTGTTTCCCACTTAAAGAGCAGCATAAAAACTGGACAAGTCATAAGGAAAATATTGCAAATTAATCTGAAGCATTCATGAGTGAAATACAGATTTTACACCTTACAATAATCTGAAACAGCAGCAACCTTTTTTACTTTCCATCATGCATCAGGTGAATGCAGAAATGCATACAAAATAAGCATAAATAACAAAAAATATTACATTAATAAATGCATAATTTATCCATTTGGTTGTTCAAATTGGCACAGAGGACAACAGCAAAAAAAAAATAAAATACATTTTTACAGAAAATAGAACAAGAACAGAGGTGGACTTCCAGAAATAACTGGGGTATTTTTGGAGCTCACTGAAGATCAAACTCTGTTCCGATCACAGCTTATTTTGGATTCAATCTCAGAGACATCTTCATGCTGCAGGCAACACAAACCGAAGCTACAGCGCGCTACGGGCCGCTGGGCTATCAAACAGGCGTCAGAGTCCCTTCCTCGGCTGGACCACTGGGTCTTCATGAAACTTTCCCACAGCTGCTTCTGCAGCAGCTCGAAACGACTCGGATCCGATGACGGTTTAGTCTTTGCTTTCAGAGCGCGTTCGTCTGAGGATTGAAGAGAGGAAGCTGCGGCCTTGCGGCGCTCCCATCAGCATGTGAGCCTGGTTCTTATGGACGATCTGAATCTGGAAGCAGAGGAAAGCAGAGAGAAAGCTCGTTTGGGGAGCCTCTAAAACGCAGAAATTAATTTTAAATCTACGTTCAGGCAGCAGGTCTAGATGAGAGGCTCAATCTGATGTTTTCAGATTTCAGTGTCAACGGTTTGCGACACCAAAGCGACTGCAGAAGAAGAACGCAGACGTCACATAGCAACGCAAAAACTGTGTGCAGTCTGGCTTAAACTAAACGAAACTGGTGTCAACGTTTGTGCAGCAGCACTTTTTTGCTGATGCTGCAATCATTTCAAAGATATTACTAAATATTCCAGCAGGTCAAAGGTCAATCAGCCAGTCCAAGTTTACAAAATCAAACAAAATGTGGCGTCAATCAAATGTGCTGTTTGTGCAGCAAATTCCTTTCCTTACCGTTTTGTTCAAACATTAAAAAATGTTTCAAAGGTCAAGAGGAGAGTCCACATTTACAAAATGAAACTAAATATAGAGTCAAACTGTAATACATTTGTGCCGCTATCATTTTAAGATTGAAAAAAAACCCCCAACATTTAATAAAAAACTGAACTCAACCTGCCCCCATTAACAAAACATAAATGATGTTTGTGTAGTTAGAATTTTAGCACCATGGTTGTTTGACACCAAATTTGTTTGGTTTTCTAAATGTGTGGAGACCTCGTTGACCTTTGACGACCTCTGAAGGCGCCTTTAAAATGATAGCGGCACAAACAATAATTTCTACTACACAAATATTTGACACCAGTTTTGTTTAATTTGGATTATTAAACAAAACTGGGGGTTGTAAGATTTAAGTACAGTTTTGTTGGCAGTGTAAGCAGAGATTTGTTGCAGCAGAAAAACACAAACCTCCTGAGATATACCGAATTTTACCCAAAAATAGTTCAGCAGACAAACTTCCACTCTTCTGCACAGGAAAAGAATCTGTAGCCTAAAATGCCACATTTTCCTATTTTTTCCCCACAGTCAGTTTAAAATCTTTACTGGCAACAAAAGTCTCAAATATTTTCATATCAATATTCACACCAGTTTGCAGAAGATCTTACAATGTTTTCGAAGCAGAGAAATAATACTTTAGAGTGAATTTCTACTTTTCTTTTAAACGTATCACTTATCTTGATATATAACAACCTATGCTTCATTTCATACACTGTCATCTACATGCAGATTTGAATTCAACAATGCATCACCGACAGAAGCAATCTCCCATATGGGTTCTTGTCAAATGGTTTATAAATGCACATCTATGAGCTTTAATACGACACAGTTTGAGAATCGCTCGGATGCATGACTCTGACATCCAATGGTAACATATGTGCATCATAATTTATAATACAATTTTGGCTTCACAGACCAACAAAGTCTGAATTAGCAATGATGCTACATGATCTTATGAAATTTGTGATGGAGCAACTCGCATCAACCATCAAGGGTTGTCGGCATCATTAGAGTCTCAATGCGAAGCTCCCATCTGCATTTAAAGGAGCGCGTCACCTTCAAGGGGAAGCTGCCATTTATTAGAGTTGAACTCTGACTTTGTGGCCGTTACCGGCTTTTATAGACTCACTTTCATCGTTAAACAAGAACTTAGCGCTTCTGATTTTCCTTACGATGCACAAGGTAACCTTTTGATGCAAGACACTGGCCACAAAAGGAAGGGAGGATCAGAAGGAAGACCTCAAATAAAGTCATATTGAATTAAAGATGCAACATTAAAGTTTAGAAAATATCACAGCATTGATGGATAAGAAATGACTGGAATCAAAACTCCCACCAGAAACAAACACCGGAAATACAGCAGCAATTTACGTTTATGACGGTTATTTCAGAGCTCGTTATCAGTGATACATGTAGTATGTGGCGTCAAAATGCAAATGAACCGATGGTGTAAATATATCAGGCATGCAGAGGAACTGAGGTGTGTTTGCATACATGCTGCTGTTGTTAATAATTAGTGAGATTCCATCTAAACTGATGTTTTCAAAAGTATTTCACAGGTGGAAGGGTTGAAGTCACCTCTGGCAGGATGGAAAAGCTGCTGTTTATTTGGGAAGCACCACTAATTAAGGTGGAACGTTGCGAAATGTTTGTGCTTTAGAAACAGTGAATGCATGTCATGACTTACAGTGCAGGGAGTCTGCATCCACGGCTCACCATCAATCTGCATCGGTAGGGACTTGGTGGTTCTGCAGGTTACAAACACAACACTGTAAAAAGTCCCGTTGCACCAGAGAGGCTTTTAAATCAACACATAATTTATGTAGTAAATCTAACAGAGGTGGGTAGAGTATCCAAAAGCTCCAGAGAATCACTACTGCAACATCCAGGAAAATACTCAAGTAACAGTAAAAAAAGTCTACTTTTTACACCACAAAGTAAAATAATATAAAATGTAATTATATTATAACCACCTTAGTGTTTCTTTCACAGTTTAAAATAAGGAGGAGGATTAGGGACACTGAAAAAAAATCTGAATTTCATTTTAGAATTCAGAGCTCAAAGTAAAAAAAAAAAAAGAAAAGGTTTAAACTCAAAATTCTGAATTTTTCTCAGAATTGTGCTTTAAATTTTAGAATTTTGAGTTTTTTCTCAATTACGCATTTAAAGTAAAGAAAATCTTAATTTAATCTCAAAATACTGACTTCAGAATTTTAAATTAAAAAATATTTGACTTTTTCTCAAAATTCTGAGAAAGAATTCTGAAACTATTGTTAAAAAAAAAACAGTTTGTTTTCTTAAATTATTAGCTTGAACCAAAATTCAAAAGCAATTTCTGGTTTTCATTGTTCAATTTTAAGTAAATTTGTATTATTGCTTTTGACAGTTTTGAGTTATTTTGGTGGCCATTGTGGGTTTTTGGTCAACATTAGCCGTGCCAACAATTTTGTCCATGTGTCAACAAATATATTCCATTTGAAAGTAAACCAGAAAGTCAGCAACTGCTTTACTTCTCTACTGTAACTGGGAATATAAACGCATCGCTCTCAGGACTCTGAATGTTATTCTCCAATTCCTGTCAAAGTGGTTCTTTCATGTGGTCTTTCTCAGAGTTACTGCTGACAAAAACAAAACATTTTCGGGAGACCAGAGTTTCCACTGGTGAACTGGCTTTGGTTTGATTGAAAAACTGCGATTGGATCACTTTAATAACAAATAAAAGTTGTATATTTTAGGCTTCTTACAAGGTTTCTAGTAAGTGGAGTGTGTGAAATACTGACCTGATGGTTACAGAGGAGCACTGGGCCAGCCGTCTACCGGCGCTCTTCAGGCCCGTGTAGATCTGACCCATTTCCATGGCTCCTTCAAGCCCCACCACCTCCAGAAGCTGGTCAGACAGGTCTGACACACAAAAAGGAAGAGCTCAAAAAGGTAATGGGGATATCCTGCAAACCGTTTTCTACAAACAAATACAGAGCAGAGAATGTAGGAATGAAGACGAAAGAGGAAGCAGGTGAAGGCTAATAAAAGAAACGTCGTTGTTCCTCACTTCAGGTCTGTGCTTCCGAAACGCGCAACATTCACAGTTTCCCATGAAAAAAAGAAAAAAGGAAAAGAGGCAACAAGCTACAAACTAAACAGCAATTAATTAGATTGCACCGGCAATGCAGAGCAATCTTGTGATAATATAATTATTAATTTCTGTGCTGTTTTTCAGTTATGAGCATTGATTTTGGCCCTGCTGGAAGCTCAGCGTCACGCAGGGCCCATCTGTTCCAGGGGCCCGCTCCGTCGACTCGTCCCTCCACAGATTAGGAAGCCGCTGCAACGCGGCTGGGAGGATCCAGATACTAATTGAAACAAAGAGCCGTTTGCAGGCGCGTGAGAGCGCGTTAGCTCGCTGTCACGCCGGGGAGCTCGGTGGCTGTCGTGTTCGTGGGAGTCGGGTTGGTTTCCTGGAGGAGTGTCGCAGCCGATGTTGCTGCTCGGGGTGAGATGTTGATGCCGCTGCCGAGCTCCGGTGTCCAGCTGTCACCATGGTGATGGACAGGCGTCTGCCCCGATCCGAGAGTGCAGCGGTGAGTGCGGAGCTTTCTAGGGTCAGAGTGGAAGAGTTTGTGTACACACAGTCCACGGCAGGTTGACCTCCAGTCTGTGGGCTTTACGGCCGATCCTCCCACTGAAACTCAAACTCAAAGCGTAGGATGGAAAGCATCACCATACGTTCACAAAACACGCAAATTTGACCCAGATCCGCTTTCCCTTCCTTCCAAATGCGACATGTTATCTGGTTTTTCGTGGCAGTCTGAACGGCCCAGTTCTGATCTTTTCCCCAATAAACTCCCAAAGTCTCAGGCTGATAGATGTCAAACATCGCAAAGACTTTTCTTTTCATCTGTTCTTAAATTTCTGTTAGATCAGTGCATGATTTGTTGTGTTTTTAAATGTTTTAGTTTCTTTTACTTCATGTTGTCAGACAGGTTTGCACCTCTCCACTCAGCTCCTTCAGACTAGCCAGCAGCAATTAGTAAACACCTGGTGGAACTGTGCATCTACTGAGCTGCTTATAGGAGCCACTTCTCAGCGGAGCGCTGATGAAAACACTGTTAGAGGGTTAATATAGGAGGCATGTTATGATAACTTCATGCCTGAATGTGGACCTTCAGAAAGACGAGCTTTTAAAGAGACACAGACCTAACTTCAAGGTGTTAAATTACAAAGTAAAATTTCTTTTAAGCCACATTTGAGATATAAAGCACTTTATAACATCTGAAGGTAACATAATTACTTGATTGTGCTATAAAATGGCATTGTGTGCCTGGAAAATACAGAGTACTGTCCCTTTAAGATGTTTCTTGACTCCACAGGTCAGGCAGTAATCAGGCCAAATTAAATGGATCCAAAACAACGCAGACTATGACATGATAAAAACTCCAATTACTTTTTCACATTGAACCTGGTTGGACTCACTGCAAAAACACAAAATCTTACCAAGTATGTTTGGTCTAGTTTTTAGTGCAAATATCTTTTTACACTTAAAATAAGACAAAAATAACTTAAAAGTAAATTTTATAGCAAGATATTTATGAAAAAGTACTTGTTTCATTGGCAGAAAAAAATAGCTTATAACATGGGAAAAATGCTTTGTTATAAGAGAAATAATTTGCCAGTGGAACTAGAACTGGGTTGCTAGGCGACGGACTGGGCTTGGCTGGCGTTGCTAGGTAACGATTATGAAATAAGGGAAATAATCTGCCAGAGGAACAAGTACTTTTTAACCAATATTAAGGAATTATTAACTTGAAACAAGTGCCTACATCTTGCTTAGAAGTTATTTGTAGTTTTAGTTTTGTCTTATTTGAAGTGATTTAAGATATTTGTACCAGCATATTTTGTATTTTTGCAGTGTTGTTTTCCCTTTTAATAAATAAGAAGTGCTATTTTTTTTTTTAACATTTGCTGAATACGAATGTAATCAGATCTTACATTATATGCGTCATTCAACTCCTGAATGTCTGCATGGGCAAAAATAAAACAGATTTGGTGAGAGTAGAGTCGGCGTTCTTGTCGGTGGCGGGCGGCTCTGACACATATGGAGCGACGGGCTGGGGGCAGCGGCGGAGCGGCACTCGACCAGATCAGCTGAACGTAAAACTAAAGAGGAGTGGCGGGATGAGGAGGGAGGGGGCGATCCTCCGACGAAAGCTTCATGAGGGTTGTCAGGGGGGATCAGTCCTCGACGTCAACCCCCTTCCACCCACACATGAGCCCTCCCTCCCTTTTCGCGAAACCTCAGTCCCATTCTAAATAATTCACTCTGTAGCCATTCCCTTCCACCTGAGGGGCTTGTCTCCTGGCGTCACCAGCGGGACGATTTAACAGCACACGAAAGGTCACGTTTTATTTATTTATTTATTTATTTTTAGCCACCCACCAGTCGCCAGTCCACACACACACACACACACACACACTCACAGTTTCACCAGATAAAATCCCTCCCTACAGTTTGATCTGTGGATGGCGGGGCCCCCGTGGGCCGAGCCGCTCCTTTGTTTACCTATAAATACAGCGTTCTCTTGATCTGACAAGTTAGGCCGCTCTCCTTGAGGGCACCTTCCACAAGGGCATCCATTCTCACATATGAAGCACAAGTGGATAAACACACACATCAATAGACTCAGACAGAGCGAAACAAACGCAGCTTTGAACGCAGAGCAAATACACACACTCCTCGCTCACGCTAAGAGCCTTCCCAGGTTCGGACTCCTCCAACGCTGCAACGATTGATTTTTATTCAAGATTTAATGGAGTGTTCATTGTTGCAGGTTTGGCCTTGAACTGATCAAACTTACAAAAAAAACTAAACATATTAAATAAAAAAGAAGCAACCTAACACTTTGTTGCTAATGCATGGAAGCTAATGCTAACACGCTAACTCCAGGTCAAATTATATCTGCACTTTAGAGTCTATAAACATTGAGCACAAATTTAATTTATACATTAATAACTTACATGTTTGATGAATGCTTGATGTACAAATTATACATGAAACGATGACAATGTGAGATTTAAGTGTCATAAAATGTGGAAATAATGAAAGTATATCTGTAGATTTAAATGTTTGTGGGTTGATGAGTATGAGAAGGGCAGGAAATCATAAGATCGTGTTTCTTCTACCTGCTCCTTCTCGAACACCATGTAAAATTACATGTCAACTGGGTATTTTTTCATGTTTTTAAGTTTTATTTGTTAGAATTTAACTGAAAGTTTACAAAACAGCCAAGTTAATGTGTGCTTGTTGTATTTATGTGGGGAAGCCAAGTGTGCCAAATGTTTCCAAAGTTAGCATAAGTGCTAGATGAATTGAATTGTACAATTGTACAATTGAAAGAATATATAATTTTCAGACTTTTAGCTGTTTGCCACAAAACATGACAGAAAACATCTGGAAGAAGATCAGATTAGACTAAAACAGAAGCTTTAAATCACAGGTGTCAAACTCCAGTCCTCAAGCACCGCTGCCCTGCAACTTGTAGATGTGCCTCTGCTGCACCACACCTGTATAGAGTAATTAGGTTGTTAGCAAGGCGCTGGAGAACTTATCTACACAAGAAGGAGGCAATTAAGCCATTTCATTCCAGTGTTTATACCTGTGGCACATCTAAAATCTGCAGGACAGCGGGCCTTGAGGACTGGAGTTTGACACCCCTGCTTTAAATTGTTACATTTACCTGTGTTTAACTTGTGTTGATTTATCATTTAAAATCTCATTAAAATAAAATTTTTGGCACAAAAAGTGGAAAAACTCCAAGGTTATAAATAGTTCTCTACATGTTTCCCTGTTTCATCAGTTTCTGCGATGATTTAGAGCATTTTACATTTTTCTGTAAGCTGTTTGTTGACATTTGCTGAAATGCAAATATTTTATCAAGCTCTAAAGGCACAATATCACCGGAGGAATAAAAGATAATAATCCAAAAACTCAACAGAAAACAAACCAAAACATGAGAGTAAAGGTTCGTAGGCGTCCTCACAGAGATCAGTTTCTCTACCAATCATGTTCGGACCGGTGAAGTCTCACTGGGGATCACCTGCAGCCATGTTTGCAGAGCCTCGCCGGCTCGTCAGCGCTGATTTTAACATCCACAACCAGACACACCCAGCACAGCAGGAAGCCTTCGCAACATACTGCACATCACTTTCACACAGCAGTCAGACATGAACACAAAACAAACAACCAAACTGTATTAAACTGGTAAATTAAAAAGAAAAACCTCCATAAATGATGAGTGGTGGAAAAATTAATCAAATGTATGAACTCTGGGATTATATGCAGGATTTGTTCCACTGATAAAGCATTGAAATAAACAGTTGATCCCTACTTTCTTAGTATTAAGCACATTTTATTCTCCTCCTCTCTGCTTGGCTATACATTTTAATTTTATCATCAGTATGTTCAGTAACTGCCCATCAAATATGATTTACACAGTAATAAAACTCACATTTAAACAAAAGAGTAAAAGAAGGAAAATGTTAAGATGGTAATAAAAAGTAAGAGATCAATTTGTTACCCGTTCCAGAAGCCAGGACATAATTCAAGTCAAAATCCTGCTGAGAAATCACTCAAACTTCATTTTTTTTGCTTTTGAAGCTAGAGTTGGATATCATCATTGTCTCCTTGTATTGGACAGGATGGGAAAATGTCCACAGATAATCCAAAGGTGGAAAAGTTAAAATACTAAGTTAGGCACTCAGACTACCGATGAGGACAGACGCAGGCCAGGAATGAGCTCTTAGAAGGAAATATGTTGAAGTTTAAAGTTTATAATGAGGTTTAAAGTCACCATGCACAAATGTTTGACTTCACTTTTGAATTTAAATGAACTGAATTCAAATCTTGCTTGAAACGAGGCATTTTCCATGAGATCACAGCTCTAGAAACCAGACCACAAATACTTGGTAAGATTTTGTGTTTTTGCAATAAAATACAAATATTCCTACTTATCTCTTCCCCAATAACTCCCTTTGGTGATTGCAAACATTTCTCCGTCTACCACGGAGTGGCTGACTCATTCTGTTTTGTTCATTCATATGTTATCGTTGATGGGTTTCCTTTTGACGTAAATGGATTCAAGGGTTTGCCCAACACCTTACTCAGTCCGCTCCCATTAGCTGCGCCTGTCCACTGCCGCCTACACAGGCCATTAATACCCAAGTGACAGTTCCACACAGTGACATGATTGTACCTTTTCTTTGCAAACAAAACCTGCTGGCTGTGATTCAACTTGTCATGGGTGAAATATTAATGTACAATGGAAAAGTTTAGCTAAAAGTTTAGTCTTTGATCTATTTGAAAGGAGCAAGGACACAAACCGACCAAGTCTGAAGGAGGATTCTGGGAAAAGATGAGCAGCTCCTCTACCACAAAAAGAAGTGGCAGACAGTTTTATTTTTCCAGACTAGTGTGTGATTTTGTGCCACAGTGAGCTTTTTATTTGCAGAATTTAACTTAGAAACCTCTGAGACAAATAAATGTATGATGTTGAAAAGCTACCTTGAACAGCAAACATGAGCTCTTTGGGGTCGACCACTGGTGTCCGTTTTTCTCGACTCTTCTTCCCCGCCTTGCGCTGACCTCGCCTCTTCTTGCTCTCGCCCCAAAGATTGGAGCCGCCATGCATGCTGGGAATGTTGAGGATAGCAATGCCTTCTAAGGAGATACTGCTAAGGTCCAGAGTGACGCCATCACACTGTTACAGATGAGAAGGAAAACAGAGGGGAAGATGAAATTAGCATGTTATGTATAACTGTTAACCTCTTATTAATGGAGCAATAAGGAAAAGGTTTCTTACTGTTGTATATTTTTTTCCACTTATGAAAAGTGGCTGATGCAGCAAAGTTTGATCTAGTTCATCCAGTGTTTAGGATGCTAATGCTAATGTCAACATGCTAACACCCAGAATAGTGAGATTGCTAATGCTAACTTTAGGAAGCTAATGAGTAACTACTGGTGCTTTTTCACTGGCAAGTCGCGCTCTAACGGGTTAATGTGCGGTTCGGTTCTATAGAAATCCACTGCTGGCCCAAACACAATGATAAAGGTTCAAATCAGCTGATTATTTCACTATAATTACATTAATTACATTCCAGCACTTTATTTTTTAAACAACATAAACCAATAGCCATGCATAAACGTCATTATTATTTTTTTATCCAAATGAAAAAAATAAAATTCACATCACAAGTTAAGATTATGTAGTTCCGGTGTTTCACACAGTCGATGCAAACAGCAGCTGCGTCAGAAAACTGACCACAGCGGGACGGTTTCTCTCTTCTTTATTACTGTCTGCATGTCAGAGCGGTTAGCTGCTAGCAGCGATGCTAATTCACGGTCATTCTGCAGCAAAAGTTAGCGCATGTGTTCCTGCGCTGCTCCTGATTATTCTCATGATAAAACTAAATGTTGGTTTTTGTAGTTTTCAGTGGTGTAAATCACGAGCCAATCAATGAACGCGATCAGCTGTAGATCAAATCGTTTCAGTGGCTGCCAAGTACGACTCTTTATAATTCCTGTTATGTGACACTGATGTCCAGTTTGTCATCATGCCGCTTCAAAACTTTAGCAATGCTGACAAACCTCACTAGAATTCACCAAGCTAACAACTGTGTTAACCAGTTAACTTGCTAATGTAAATATTAGCTTACTACGGTTAGCATTCACAGCTAATAAGCTTTTCTGGTTATGCTAACCTACTCATAGAGGTAGCTTATACATTAGCTACCGGATAGCTAATGTGGCTATACGGTAAAGTGCTTTGAGTGGTCAGGATAGCTAGAAAAGTGTTACATAAATTTAATTTACCATTTAAAGCCAGATTATAAGCTAGTTTAAGCTAAGAAAAGACCATTGTAAGTGTCCTCTGTTAAGTCTTAAAAACAGAGTGGATTTTAACACATCTGATCGGCTCATCTACTTACTTGCAGCTCAATAGTATTGCAGTTACTTATAGAGCGCTAATTGATGAAGACCTCTACACTGTGTGGATAGCTCTGTGAAGATGGAAGATGAATTGTATAGACACCAGCTTCATTATCACTCAATATCGCACACAGCAGGGTCACGTTGGGCTAATTACCTGAGTGTTGGACTGGGGATCTATGAAAAGCAGGCGGGGAGTTGCAGAGATAGCCCTCACACGTCAACACATTTTCTGAAGCTGAAACTACCATATTTATGGAAAAGAGGATGACCAGAATATTCTTTAGCTGTGCAATCATTCTTACCTTAAGGCCAGTTTAATATTCCCATTAATGCAGAGAAAAGATTAGTTTTTCAATTCAGAGAGTTCATAAGAAAGGAAGATAAAAGCAGGCACTTTTATGATGTTTTTCTTTGCTTTTGTTCCTTTTCTCGCATGGCTCTGTGCAAAAAGAATAGTTTGATTTACCTCCACCTCCAAGAAGTCATGGAGCTTCTTACACGTGGCCGAAAACGTCTCCGAAGTGCCGAACTCAAAGTACCACAGCTTATTCTTTGTTCTGAAGAAAAGAAAAGAAGCAGGAACTGTAAAGGGACCAGGAATAAAAGGTAAGCGGAAACATGGGGGTGTTTTCTTCACATCAAAATCTCAACCTTATGCACTTTACTGTCTCAAGTCTACTATATATGAAGACAAATACATCCCGGCGCATCAATGTTTGACTCCAACTTTAAACAGATTTTCACCTTTAAACCACTGACTCATCGTTCTAGAGGATGGATAATGTGTTTCAGTAATTACATATTGAATCATAATGGTAATCTGTGGTTAAGGGGGCCTTTGACAGGACACATTATGCAAACCTAGAGATGCAGGCCCAACAATGAGGCACAGGGTGGAGCATGAGAGTTTAATCTACCTGCTCCTGCAATTAACAGAGGACTGGGGTGCTGCACCCCTGGCTTCCTGCAGCACACACTCCCAGCTGCTAATGCTGATGATCAATGACCTTGCAGGGGTGAGCCACCATCTGTCTGCATGCTGCCATGACGCTTTCTCATGACACCAATCAAACGTCAGATATTTATTTTCTTATACACAACTTACTCCACTCCATAAAACATTTTTAATGCTACCTTTGTTATCTTTTGACATAAGTTTGATGTACATTATCTCCAAAAAATCTACAACAGCCCAGACATGCAGGACTCAACAGTAAAAAATGGCTTTCTCTTAGTTGGATTTAAAGCACTACAAGCAAAACGTATTAGTATACGCAGAGTAACAATCATTGAACTATTGATTTCCTCATTAGGACTTTTGTCAGGACCATTTAGCCACTTTATAAATGAGCTTTCATTAGGGTACTTGCAAGGTAGCCCCACTCTGGGTTGATTTATAACGTGCAACATGGTCAATATCAGTGGAGGTGGGGGGACACAAACTGAAGTGGCTAAAAGCCAGAGAGTGACGATGGACGTCGTTGTACCACCCGTATAATCTCAACAATCAAAAGAAAGCCAAGAGAGGCAGGAACTCTGGCTGGAGCAGGTTTGCAAATAAGCAAATGAGGGTGACTACTCTGAAAAGCATATTCAAAGCTTGTGGTTAACAGCAAGAAGAAAGGCGGACACATTACAAGCACTTTTTGGCTTCGGTTGAAGCCAACCTGATGCTTTTAAGGGCTGATGAATGAAGATATGATGATTGTGGTAAATTCAATAGTTTTTAATTTCTGGTGGAGTTCAAAGCAAGTGGTGATTATCTGTTCTTCAAACAGAAACACTCTTCATATGACCTGTCAGCGCATTATAATTTTTGGGTTTGATTACAGGCTACGCTCTATTATTTTTCACAAAAACAAGCTTCAGAACACAAGTCGATGAAAATCTTAGTCATAATTCATTTCAATTACACAAGATCTAAACTTTTTCACTTCTCAAAACATTTCAATGTGAAAAAAACTGAGGTATTATGGTTAAGTAGCCAATGTGGGTTAAAAACTGTTTCTTCATGGAAAAAAAATTAACTTGGGTTGAATTGACAATGATAATAAAATGATAAATTATACTTTAACTATTTAAAACTAAGTATTTTATCTACTTTCTTTATATATATATATTTTTCTCTTTTCATCAACTTATTCTATTGTGCTATCGTTTGTGACCAGCACTTTGGTGCAGTTTTAAACCTGCTTCTAAAAGTGCTATAATTTGACATTGACATTTAGCCTTTCTGGATATTCCATCACGTTATCCTTTACAAGTATCAAGTGAAGGCTGATGTATTAGGTTAAGCATAAAACATTTTCTTTGTTCCTCCCTGCACAACCTGCTGCTGGCAGGGAGTTTGCAAGTGTAAACTAGAAGATTTAAGCAAATCCTTAATACTTTCTAACCCTTCTAACACTTTTCTCCAACCATTATAAGTTAGCAAAAAAACAAAACAAAAAAAAAACAATGCAGTTGATATAATTTCTACTTAATTTGAGTTGTATGATTTCCAACTTTGTCTTCTGACATATTTAAACAGAATCAGAGTTGGCGCACCAATCCATGGTTCTTTAAAAGTTTTAAAAATTTAAAATGTATTCTTAATCAGCTGCTTTTTAGTCATAATTGTAATGAAACTATAGGAGTAAAAAAGTCAATCAGATCAGTTTCATTGAGTCAGGCTAAGTTGAAATACCGTTCTTGAGAGCAAACAGGAGAGAAATAAACTGATGTAGATGCAGTTAGCAAAGGCTGCCACATGTTCTCCGATGTGCTTCGTTTTCAGAGCTAAAATAAAACTAACTTCATGTCAACCAGTAAAAGTCTGACTGCTGCATCTCTATTTATAGGCTGTTTTTATTTATACGAAAACCTGTATGAGAAGAAACTGGGTTGGGATGAGAGATTGCTGCGTCTCCTGAGCAACACATATTTTGACCAATTAATTTAATAAACTAGATGAGACTGTGTTGTATTATAACTTGGAATGTTTCAATCTGTTCCTATAATTGGATTGCACAGATTAATTTAATTTAATGCTTCTGGTATGAATTGGGTCTGTTTGTCTGGTAAATTGTCCTAAGACGACATCGGTTGCAAATTAGTCCCAAATAAACAAATTGAGTTTGAAATTGTTAAATAGGACAAAATAGCCATAAAGTTCATGACCACACTGTAAATTTAACACAGGGGGCATTAGAAATGTTTATTTGCAGTCAAACTATTTTATTTTAACAAATCAGAATAATATAAAGATCGTCTCATGACTCTCAAATGTTGGTACAAATTTGAGCCAAATCTCGGTGTAAGAAGAAATGCAGTGAAAGACAACAACTGACCATCCTATCGATTCTCACCACTTAACCTAACAAGGACACCATGGCAACAAATCACTCCATGAGCATGTTCATTAGGTAATTAGGAGCATCTCATTGGCTGGATCAGATTGTCGTTTGTTTTCTGCCGACTGATGCCAAACACCGGACTCATCTGATTTGAGAGAGGAGAGTCTTCGACAGTGGCCGGCTTGTCTTTGTGGGACAGATTAATAGGGAGCCCATTAGAGTCGGATGATACTTTTAAGGTGGATTAGGAGGCCACTGTTTTATGGTAGGTGTAATGAAGGTGAACATAAAGTGTCCATTTACTTAAACCGCTGGCAGACATTAGAGTCCTGCATCTTCCCAGGACATTTCAGAAGTTTTGTTATTTTGCTTTCTGAGAACAACTGAGTGAAGACATGAGAAGCGCAACGTGTGTTTCCAGTCATCAGAGTGGCTTCTGCATCTTTGTTGTGATTGTATCTCCAGAGTATCGATGCAAAGCATGCCACAGTAATAACTTTAGCGGTCTCCATGCGAGATCAGATGGAGTCGGCCCCAAACACAACAGTGACTCGGGTTTCCAGCGACAGTGAGGTGTTATTTATTTGCACAAACAAATTTGTAAAACAAAACCGAAAAAGAGAGGGATAAATTCAAACTTTGTGGCTCGGATAAAACAACAGCAGAGCTCTTAAGTGCACATCAAGCTTTAGGGGAAACGGCAGCATACAAGAAACAGAAGAGCTGTTTAAGAGAAGGAAGAACAAACGGTGTAACTCACTGTTGTTCAAGCTTATGCTGCTTGGTCACCATATTAAAGGATGTCAGAGACGATGAACTCCAGTGTAGCATCGCTGTCCTGCGGCCACAGCACCTTCAGATGCACTTTCCACTGGCCACTCCAACCGAGCAGGACATACCCATTGATTTATTTCCCCCTCTGACACTTAATCTAACCCACAGTGATCTACGACCTTATTTTCACACTAATTTCTTCTTGATCAGAGGTGATAAATATCGCATTGACATAACCAAGTCTTTGTGCATTGCATCAATGCACTGTTTTGTTTAACATGACACCGCCTAGAGCTCTCTGACTCGAATGGCAGTTTGAGAAATGACTTGAGCTGTGTTGTCTTGCCTAAAGAGATTCAGCAAACATCCTGAAAAATGTAGTTCTCGCTGTTGCACTGCAATGATTACAACACGCTGGTTTCTTAAACAAACAATACATAAATTGCTAAGAAGGCTTAGGGAACTTCTTTGTCTTTGAAAAATCAGCCCAGGAAGAATTTTCTTGGGCAATAAACAGTTCAAGTCAGAATAACAGCAAAACATCTTTTGAAGATGCTGGTTGAGGTTGATGCTGATCACTGTGAACATACCGTATTTTCCGCACTATAAGGCGCACTGTCGGCTTTTGAGGAAATTGAAGGTTTTTAGATGCGCCTTATAGTGCGAAAAATACGGTAATTGTCTGGTGGTTTGGTGAAACAAAAACTGAAGTATTTGGACGTAATGACAGTTTCAACACTGGCTGAAAAAAGGGAGAAACTTTAGCATCATGGAATAGATTGTTTCACAAGAAAACAACCAAGTTAAGTGTTGGACACAAACTGATCTTCCAAATTAACAACAATGACGATAATCATTACAACCAAATTGGCCAGGTCAGACAAGGTCAACGTTTGGGATCCATCACAAAGCTCTGATCCAAGTCCAACAAAAAAAAGGGTTGAAACCTGACCCAGTTTCACCAGTTTGGTCAGGAGGAATGGGCCAGAAACCCAGCAAACTGTTGTGAGAAATTTGTGGAAGAAAAAACAAAAAGTCAAACATATGTTCAAAAGCAATGTGACCAAATACTGAGGAAATATATGTAAACTTTTGATTTTGAAGAAGTAAACAATTCTCCTTCTCATAATCCCAACATTAATAAAACTGACAGGGCGTCTTGTCACTTGAAATCCAAATAAGTTGCTGTTGGTCACGACCCCGACTCATTGTTTTCACCCTCACGTGAAAATGACTTCAAACAGATGCACAATTATACAAGTGTTTGTTTTTGAAAAGCATTAGAGCCTCCTGCACAACCAACAAGAATGCAGCAAGTGGTTTCTGGACGGTACATCGACATCAAAACACACGTCTTTTCCAGCAGCCATTGTACAGCGCATGCAGCATTAAAACCAGCTGAGCAAACATGCTGGAGCTCAGCTTAGGTAGCTAGGTGACAGGGGGAG